AGTGTTGTAGCCACTGATCTGATAATAGATTTTATATAGCTTCCATATGTACCAAAAGTAAAGCCTAATTATGTATGCGGCGTTCGTTTCAGTTTACCCACTTGAGATACAATTACTATAGAAATATATGGCTGATAACGTTTACAAACAATTATTTTAAAATATTCAAGACATTTCGCGACCTTGTTCTTATGTCAAATATACGTCACAGATGAGACAAGTCATTTATATCAATTTGACATCAAAATATTCCCGATATGTGAGAAATACTTGCGTTCGTATTCATTTGAAAATTGCTCGTCCAGGAAGACATGAATTTGACCCATCGTTGCCAAGGTATGACAATTCACAGCTTGGTTGCTAAATTCAGAGGCAGTTATGATCTAGAATAATATTCAATGCTTAAAAATTGCAGTAAGAACATCTATTGTGCTGTAAGAAACATGTTTACCAAGCTTTTTTCCTTATCTTGTTTAGTTTTCAATTCTGTTTTTATATTATAAAGATAATTTTATCACCACACCTTGCTTTAAAATTTGGGTATGGCATTTATCAATGTGTAAATATGATAGTTATTGTAATAACATGTGCATAAATCGCCTTTTTTTAAAAGATTTTCGCAACAGAAATTGCATTCGGTCGTAATAAACTGCTATCTGAAGTTGAAAACACTTTTCTATTTCATTTCATATATACACAACAAAACTGTTTGTATGAAAAAAATAATTCGGTTGAAAGATATATTACAAATATGAAGCAAGATGAAATTGTAAATGCACACAGCCTTTACACAGTTTCTAAATTTTAATGCGATAGCAATACCATACATGCAAGCCTAACTACGTTGCCAGAAGCTGCAAAAGAAAACAACCTGTCATTCTTGTTGATAAGGTTTTGGTTCAAAAAATTACGAAAGTGAAACTACTTTTGTGTCTTTAATTAAAAGACAGATTACTTTGGTTTAAACAAACGGCTATTCATATAAATGTATGCAATAGAACAGAAAGGTTTTTTTGAATTCTGATTGCAGTTCACCACATGGAAATACTATTCCTGACGCTACAGCTTTGAATAGATTGCAACTGATACATGTTAGATATTTCGTCATTAACAACCATATATATTCGTTGATTAATACCTTATCTAAATACTATGCTGCTCATAAAATCACGGCAAAAGTAACATAACACAATCTCTAGATTATAAAGAATGTTAAAAAAATGAACTTACCGCAATTATTGAGCATTGAAACTTATCCCAGATCATAACTGCCTTTGAAATTGGTTACCTAGCTGTGAAGTATCTTGCCTTGGCAACGGTGGGGCAAATTCTATTCTTGTACAAGCAATTTACCTTTGAACATAAATGCGGTATTTTACAGATATTCAGATAAATTTGTTGTCAAATTGATTTACATAACTTTTTTCACCAATGACGTATGTTTAAGATGACAGAAAAGGTCGCCAAATGCCTTAAATATTTGAAAATCCTTGTTTATAAACGTTATCCGCCATGCATTTGTATACATATATATTTTAAGCACAGAATTGTGACGTATGGAATGCGCTGTTGGTACTGTGAATTATCCAAGATGATACAGATACAGAGATTATATTACAAAAATGAGATTATTTTCTATTGAACTATATAATACATGAAAGGCAGCCTGTAATATGAAAGCCTAATAATTTATTGACTTGAAGCCAAATATGACCAACAGAAAAGCGTATCTGGAGGTCAAAGAACGTATATCACTCGCGCAAAAATAGACCGTAGAAGAGACTTACTAGTAATTAAGTTTATGCCGAATTATTTCTATGATTAAATTGATTTTGTTTAGAGAAAGAATTATAGTAGAAAAGTATTTTGGCATTAAACGTAACGGGGCTTGATCTTTATTCAGTCTATATGAAGCTTACTATTGAATACGTTTTTTGAAATGGAAAATATTAACCATGAATACGGTAAAAAAGAGCAACATCATTCATTTGTTTGTATCTGAAACATTGCAGCAAGTACCAGTTTATTTGTTGCTCAAAAAAATTCAGTTAGATGTATTCAATAATTTACATGAGTTTCTCCTTGGAACATTTTAGGCTTTGTACGTAAACCTTTTAACAGAATCTATTAGATTTTGCACAAAATTGATATTCGAAATAGGGTTGAAGGTATGTGTAATTTCAACAACGGTAATTTATCTGGAAATCATGAAAGGTTAAAAAAAATTTAGATGAAAACTTAAAAAATTAAACGCTTTGAAAGAATGTCCTTTGCTGCTTCATCAATTTATATAACATGTGAAGGGTATTATTTTATTTATCATGTAAAACAAAGTTTTGTGTAAGTTTGTAGCCACTGAAAATTGTGTTTTTCTGAAAGTAAATTTGTACGTTCACGGAAACAACTAATAATAATTTAATAGTAAATCATTTTTAAAATTTGTTTATGCCAAATAGAAACAAAAAAGTATTTGTGTTTTGGTTTCGAAGCTTTGCAGTTTATAGCTACAAGCTATTTTTTTGTACATTTCTATTGGACGTATGTTAACATTGCGTGGAAAGACTGAGCTCTAATGGCATCAAAATATCTGCTGGCGTAGCCTTCCATCTATTTAGTTTAACGGTTTGAATTTATCCGATCAAGTTTTATAAAAAAGAGAAACAAACAGCAATCAAATTGAGCATATATTTGAGTGATATAGATGAGGAATCACGAATTTATTCACCGATAATTGTTTTCGCAAAATGTTCACTTCGTTTATTCATACGTTTTATTGCTAGAGATATTGTGCTATTTTCATATTTGCTTCTCGAATGGTTTACTATATCTGAACAAAGCATCCTACGGGCTGCTGAAATGTAGCGTTAAGAAAAAATTGAAGTAATTACATTTCCATTGTTGATTCATCTATATCATGCAGTAAACAATATTAGTAATAAACTGTGTGTTTTTTAGTGTCCATTGCATAACTATTTTTTTGAATTTGTTGGTAATGGATAATAAAATTTAGGGTTTAAATTGATAGTTAAAGTGTTATGTCATGTGATGGGTATTGTCTGTGTATGAGGGCTCAATGCGGATGTTTTTAATAATCATTAATTCAATAGAAATTTGATGAATATATATTTGACATTTTATATGATGACTGCATTTTGGAACATAATGGAAGTAAAAGTAAAAAAATCTCATATTCATGCACATTATACTACTTAAAAAACCACTTTACTGCCTATTAAATAGTTCATGCATTATCATAATATGATACACAAAATGAAGTTGATCCAGCTAGATGTTAACATAACAGATAATTTTTAGCAATGAGATGATGAATTTGAACAAGTGACTATTTCACACAAATTCCCGTCATGTCAACGAATTCACACAAATTTATGCTAAAAATTATTGCTGTATGTTTCTTTTTCTAACAAAAAAATGATTGGATAGATTTTGAAACAGTCAGTTTGCAAACACTACAAAAAATTCATTTTCATAACATAATTTAATATATATATCTTTTACCCTCTTATTTCGCTACTCATAGATGTATATACGTATGTTTAATACGTTTATATTTCTGAAGTAATTTTTATATCTCGTGGGTAACCATTAAGGAATTTTGCATATATAATAAACTATATCAAGTCTCTTTTCAGATTCGTAGTTGTAGCTAGGGCAGCCCATTTGAAAAGCTGTTGTAATGAATTAAAATTATATTAACATATTCCCTCTTTAACTGTTCATATGAAGTGCGATTTGAATATACATTTATCTTTACACTCACGTCAATGTTTCTGAGTTATTCAGAGGCCGCGCAAGCTCTGCCTCTGCTATTTGTGTATATTTTCAGTGTTTTAGCTATTTAATCAGTTTTATCCTGCAACATAAATTGTTTTGTATTCACTAGTAAAAAAGAACAATTTACCATATACTAACAAACAATGAAAACATAAAATTTACATATCAGAACGACAGTACTAAAACTTGCACTCTGACTAAGCCACAGAAACTAATCAAATTTTTTCAAATATGAAAAACTATAGTGTTCTTAAAGCACTTAAACATTCTGTGTTTTATGGATGTGTTTGCTTGTTGCTTGCGGTGAAAGCGCAAAAAATATTTGTTGATATACAAGCAATTTAAAAATAGAAATGTGCATGTTTTTTGTTTATTGTAGCAAATTACCAAAGATCTTTCTTTAAAAAATAATAGTTTGACTAAGAATTAGTGTATTGTCCTTGTTAAATGTTATTCAAATTAAAGGGTATTAATTCATACAGCGACGGAATGGAATATGTCACACGAGCGTATGATGTAGAGAAACCATGTTTTGTATAGTAAAATATAACATTTCGTATGATGTAGAGATAAAACATTTCCAGCTGATGTTCTGATTTAACAAGTTACTGTTTGCTGCCTAATCTTAAAACATAATCACTGACGATTTTGTTCAATGCGTATAACTTATTACTTTCATTTTTAATTCAGGAGAAAGCAGTAATGTCAATAAACAAGATAGAGAGGAGGAGGTAGTTATTTTAATTATGATTTATCAAAGCAGTTTTCTTTCCTTAATACAGAAATATCAGACGATGTAATGGGGGAGGTAAGTTTGTCTTAAAGTATCTTTACTATCGTCGAAATGAACCACTACTATAAACATCACTTGTTAAGTGAGTTTGTATGGTAAAATGTTGTAAGTTACTATTGCAAAAGTAACTAGTTTCAAAAGCATTTTACGTACCTATACAAGTTCCGTTAACGGTAACTCGTAATATGTTTCTTAAACGTGTAACATTTACAGTAACTATTTACAGGTAATCATATTATTTCCAATATACGGTCAACAGTAATTCATTTTTGAGTTGAATATTTCGACAGTTAAATTAAAGCTTTGTTAAGGCGTATTGTCTGGGCGAAAGCGAGGTTTCATATATTATCATACATACCTTTGCTTTTATCAAGTTAACGATATAATAATTGAACGTTTCTGTTTTAGCAAACGATTGACTTGCAAAGTTGTTCGGAAATGACGGAGATGATCAAACGCAAGATCGTCAATACGGAGGCATTTCCTCATTTCCGATCTATTCTTCAACATTTTCTTCGTTTTCCAAGTATGTTGTCTATTTCATGTGGATCTTTTCGTAGTGGTGTAGCGTATGTTAAGTTTTGTTGACTTCAAGTGCCCCATTTTTTCTCCGCTACACCACTGACCTTTTGTTGAATATTTTAACAAGAAGACAGGTGATAATTTGTTATATCTATCTGCCTTTGATGGTTTAGTAAGTGAAACGAGCCTTTTTGAATTTTAAAGTTTACCTTAAACACTATAAACTATATATTTAGACGAAAATAGGGAAGCAAGAAAAATTTGGTCTCTGGTGGATGGAGTAATCCAAAAAATGACATTTAAAAGCGAAGATGGCGAAGGTTTGAGAAATTGAAATGAAGATTTTCATTTTAATGGTAATCTTCGGTGCTAATGTGTCATGTATTTTAGATGTGGAAGAATTGCGAAAGAGGCTAGCTAAGCTTTACATAACAATTGACTAGCAACACAAGAAAAGGTCTCATTTTTATTTTTAATTTTTTATTTTACGCTATCTTGGTATGATTCCCATTAAACGTCTTGTTTTTTATGTTAAAGGACGGAGTAAAGGAAAGATGGAAACAAAAAATATTGAATTAGAACGCGAGACTGCGGAGAAGAAGAGGCATTTAAAAGAATGCAGGAGCTTGACAGCAAAGTTAACAGTGCTGCCATTCTTGTAAAGCAATTATCAATGTTTTATGATATCATATTTTTGTTTCATGTGAAGATTTTTTTATTTCCTAGCTTGAAGCTCACAAAAAAGTCTTGGAAAAACTTAAAGAGATTGTCGAAAAATCTGGTGGGAAAATTCCTGAAGATTGCAACGTTGAGCATTTTGTCAAGAATAGTACTGGTGCCCCACTGAAAATTCCTAATCTTGAAGAACATGCTGATCCACCTCCCCCTTCTCCGTTAGCTGGATTACTTCTGGTGTCACCATCACTTACACCTTTCGGGGATGCAATACCAGGTGACATTTTTATTTGCGTACAATAAATTTGATTATTGTGATGTTCTGAACTGAACATCCATCATTTACTCTCTCTTGTTATTCAAGGTTTATCACTTCCCTCTGGACCCTTATAAGCCCCTGGCATGCCAGGCGCATTAAAAAAGGAAAGGCAAATGTATGAAAGCCTTCGCAAGATTTGAAAGCATTTAATTGGTCGAAACTGACTCATGTAATTGAAGTGTTATGTTATGTATTGACATTGTGAGCGAGGTCATTCATTAAAATTTAATATTGTCATGCATGTCTCTTTATGTACAGAAATTTTCTTTTCTTGACCAAAATAGAAGGAACAGTTTGGACGGAAATCGACGACTCGAAGGTACCGATTTTTTGTTTAGTTTCGAATGTTTTTTAAAGCAGTACTTTCTTGAAGGTGTTTCATTCAATTTATTTACTTTTTGCTTGATCAGATTCATGAAATCATGGATTTTAACGACTTTGATCGCATGTTCTCATCATATTAAAAATCTAAGAATGACCAGGTACATTTTGTGTTCGTTTTACACTTTTTTCAATGGTCTATATTCTTTGTTGAGAGCAATTTTGATTGTTCATTTCAGAAAGACGGTGGTGCAGAAGCTTGTTTGGCTCCGGAACAAAGGCAAAGAATTGTCATTCATAGATAGTAGGAAAGCCCAGGTTCGGTGATGCTATCAAATATGTTGAGTTGAGAAGTGGTTGTTGTATTAAAATTTGCATCGAGATCTTGTTTTTGTTTAGAACTGTCAAATTTTGTTATCAAAACTGAAAACTTCTAACGAACAGTTAGCGCGAGCTGTTCTCACCATAGATAGGGATGGCGAATTATCTGTAGAAATGCTCGACACAGGTAAAATTTCACTTCGAATTCTTACATGGGAATTAAACATTTTTACTAACGAATCTATCTTCATCCTTTTTGTTTAGCTCTTAAAGCTCGTACCCCCTACCAAAGGAAAAAATCTGCTCGATGATCATAGTTAGAAGAAAGAACAGTTTGCCAAAGCAGACAGATTTTTATACGAAATGTCCAAGTATGTCGTATATGTGAAGTGACTGCTTTAATTTCGTGTACCAAACGTACAAATCTTTTTTTTGCTTTTAGAATCAACCGTTACGCAAAATGATTGGCAACTTTGTTTTACGTCAAACGTTTCCCAGAACGAATGGGCGATATAAAAGCAAAATTTAAACGTAAAAGATCATAGATTTTCTGGGAGGAATTCCAATCTCCATACTTACATAAATAATAGCAAACGCAATTAGGATTTGTTTTAGACCCAGCACACTTTCCAAAAAATTATCTCCAATTATGAGATAAGAGTAATATAATTAAAAAAAATAAATCCGACATGTCACGCGGACATCCTCAAAGTACTTTTTGAAATCTTATCCGAACGTAACAAGCCGTGCCTAAATAGTAATTCGGACTCCATTGTTTTAAAAGATGTCATTTTATTGTTCGAAGTAACTGTCTGTTGTACGTGACTACAATACCTTTATTTCAACAGCTGTGGTAGAAACATATAAGCAAGTGTTCCACAGTAGAAAATTTAGTGATTTACTTGAAGTTATCTTGGCCTTTGGAAATTATATGAATCGTACAGAAAGAGGAAACGCTTCAGGGTTTAAAATTGCCTGTATCAATAACTTCCTATTCACAAAATCGAGTTCGAACAGCAAAATTAATCTTTAGATTACTTGGTCATGCTTTTGGAGCAAAAGGTTTATGTGGAAGTATTTATAGATTCACTTTTAAAAATGAACTTTTATGGTCTCCCTTGGGTTCTTGCAGTTTCCGGCCATACTGCAACTTGAGGAAGAAATGGGAGATGTTAGGACAGCTGCTAAAATCACGTAAGGATAGAATGGGATCATAAATTATGGATTTTTATCATTGATAGGAAAGATCGCTTGCTCCATCGAAACTGAACTCAAAACAGTTGAAAAGGTTTATGATTTGTCCTTAAAAAAAGGGAAAGGTCTTTAACTTTCAACTGCTTCATTATTTCTTACAGGAGTCTGATTATCAGTGTAAAAAGAAGGGTAAATGATCTGGTGATGATTTCCTTCAAGAAACTGTGGCTTTTCTCACAGCTGCACGAGCGTCGTTCAATGAACTTGATGATTCCTGGAAGAACATGAAAACAAGAGTGAGAATTTTGATTCATTTTTATCTTCGGCCATGAAAAAGGACTCATTAAATATGTCTCTACTTTTAGTAAGAGAAATCTGTCCCGGCGTTTGATGAACAACCGAAGACCATTACCTCGGAAAACTTCTTTGGCATTTTATACACATTTTTAGTATCTTTTGCCGTAAGTCTCTTTTTGTAGATTTAGTTCTTTTCAACGCATGCGCAGTAGATATAAATTAACAGTAAATTGACAGAACTGAAACTTCGTTTCAGGAGGCGAACAATGAGAATGAAAAACAAAAAAGAAGAAACTAGAGAAGAAAAAGAAACTAGATGAAGCTCAGGTTAAAATCAATGTAATTGTCCTTTTATACATTGAAGAAGTAGCTATCATAACGATGTCAGGATAAACATGGGCTTCATTCCTGCGATGAAAGAGAGGAACCATATTCATGTATTCTGTTATGCCACGCTGAGTTGTATTGAAAAGAACTTAGACAAGCATAGCAGAATAGATGAATATGGTCCACCCTTCAATTAAGGAAAGAATTGACGCCTATGAGAGTGGATGATTTTTTCATGTGTTTTCAAGCTATTGTCCCTTGCCATAGATCTGACATACTGTATTTTGTTGTTTACAACCGACTAGTTGGTTTGATTCAATAATTACAAATGTTATAGAATAACTTTGAAAACATCGCATCTTTATTACATGTTAGTAGACGTTGTGTTTGTACATGCAGATTTGTGCAGTCCTAAAAAAGACTGTTAATGTTGGTATTGACTTCCGTTTCAATATCTTAGTGTTAAACACCGCTGGTCATTTTGACTCTGAAAGACTGCACTAACTACACTAACTATATCTACAAATACATAACGGTACTCACGAGCTTAAACAATATGTTTCAATATTTTCATAAAAATATCGATTTTCTTTTTTCCAGCAAAAGGAACGAAATCGCCAAAAGAAGGTGGCAAAGAAAGTAGCGAGTGGCAAAAACTAGAACCGTACAAACGATGGCGAATCAAACAGGAGGGAGTTCAATGACTTGATATCTGCATTAAAATCTGGTGACGTATTTAGTGACGACGTCAAGAAATACGGGGGGCGTCGTAAGGTAAAGCAAGTAGAGAAGTTTGCCGTAACATTTTGAATTATCATGTATAGTATTATTGCACATTACAGAGTAATCTTTAATTATTAATGCTGTGGAGAATAATACAGCATTCACATTTTTACAGATTTTAATAGTAAAAAGGTTGTGTTTTAAATATTCCAATAGATTAATGTTTCACTTAATCAGATTCGTGAGAGATTTCAGTCTTATTATTAAAATCCACGTGTCAGCAGATTTCAAATTTTAGATGTGTATATTGTTTAAGCTCTTGTGAAAAACAATGTCTGTCAATTACACCTTTAATACAACCAATCACAGACAAACAGCCAGCTTGCACAATGAGTTATTTTTATTTCATCGACTTCCTTCATCGAAAATGGCCATTAACTTAGATTTAAGAAATTGAACACATCTAGTTGAGGGTTGAAGTTAACCATGGTTATACCGATGGTTATGGGATAAACACTAACATGGTTTAAAGTAACTCTAATTAAGCATGGATTAAATTTAACAAAGAGTTTGGCAACTTATAGGTCAATCAGTTCCAGTGGTTCCAGTACTTTGGAAAGAAGTCAAAAGAAGCTTTGTAAAATAACGGCTCTTAAAAATGGACTGAAAAACTTTAAGCTTTTAAGATAAACAAGACAATAAAAGGAAAATTTGCCATTCCTACATATACATCGACGCTTTCATGCCATGGCAGTGCAATATGTGAAGATTTTTCTGCTGAACATCGCAGTCAATTGATAAACCACATTGGAAAGTGTCACAGGAATGATCCAAATTTCCATTGTTTGTTTGGCATAAGTGGCTGTACAAGAACATTTAAAAGTTATTGTACTTGGTGAAACCATGTAAAAAAAGAGCATTCGTCGCAGCCAAATAATGTTGAAGAGCATACAAATGTAAGAAATAATAATGAAAATGATGAAAACGGAGGCCTAGTATTGGAAGAAAATATCGATACCATAGAAAACACCAGATTATCTGAATTATATATTCTCAAGATACAAGAAGAGTTCTCGGTGCTGCAGACTACTGTTACAATTATTATAGAAAACGCAAAATCACTCATTCAAGACACATTAAAAACGGTGGAAAATAAAGTAAAAAGGCGATTTGGTAATGAAAATATTTCGTGTCAAAATGTGCCTGGGATGCAAGAGATTTTTAAAGAGAACAACGCAATAGCCAATCCATTCAAAAACTTGGAAACTGAAGCACAACAATGACGTTTTTACAATAACTATTTTGGATTAAAGGTATTACATGTAATTAACAAGAACGCATAAACATATGGTAAAACAATGAAAAAGCCGTCTATTACTAGACGTCTTTCCTTTTTTTAAACAGGAACCACCTAGAATTATTCTGGGTCAAAGAAAGTCTTCGAAAGAAGAAATGGTGTGGTCGGACTACTACAAAGGCTTTGACTTTCGTTTCCATGTGATTGGTTAGACTTACTTAACTTTAAGCGGGTGGAAAGGTGGAAAGTCTCATGAAACACGTGTAACATGACAAATTCATTTTAAATGGGACAATTATTTAGACTGCGCATAAGAATGTAAACGTTCGGAATGCGATGAAAAACAATAGTACGGTGAATGTGAGGATTCTTCATTCATTTCTAATCAAGCAATATTCTGATACTTGCTCAGAAAGCCAAGGTTTATATCATTGCTTTTTGATGGCAACGATAATAAACGGATCATGTCAGCCGAGATATGACCGCTAAAAGTTATATACTTGCCTGTTATCGTTATAATAATTCACGGCTTTGAGGTACGAATTTTATTATTTTAGTTACAAATTTCCAGATGAAGCATTGCTTTTTCCACATTTCTTGTGATTACTTTATGTTGTTCTTTGTACGTAAATGTCGATCATTATTTTTTTTAGTGCTCCCTCCATGGGCACAAGATAGTTTTTAGAAGTTTGCATTCTTTCAATGTTTCATAAAACTACGGAACTCATATGTGCCATAGCTCTAGCCTCCAACGTGCATAGGTTTTGCTGCGCATTAAGGTTTTAGGTTGTTGAAGTGACAGAAATTTGTTCATATTAATCAAATATAATCTGAAATATAAAGATTAAATAAATTACAATTATTAGAAAGTCGCTACTCAGAGTTTTATGCCAAAGTTGTTATGTTTTTCTTTTACTTCTCTTCGCATCACATGAAAGTGTAGATTCAGGATTGACTGGGAAAGATTTGGTTAAAATGAACAAATTTTAAATTGCTTTGAGAACAACTAGTGTATGTGTATTATAGCTGTTTCTTCAGTTATTGGAAGAAATATGGCTGCTATTTCCTCAGACTGTGCAGAAATGTGTAATAACTTCCCTGGTTCGTTTATAAACAAATTTGAATAATCCAACAGTTGATCTTCATATTTTGTTGTGTAATGACAGGTGCAATGAAAAGAATAACTTTAGGTACATCCCACTCATTAGTTTCTTAAAAAGCAAAGTTTATTTTCTTTATCAAAACCTGAAGGAGTTTGTATGATTTCCTTATTTTCTGTAAAAGAGGAAAAACCATTTACCAAAACTCAATTTAGACATTCTCTTTGAATTATAACAGTTTTTGTGTGCCTGATGTTTCTCTTGCATCCATTTTAAAATGTGCTTGTGCAACGTCTATTGAGTCTCTTAGAAGTTCTGAAGGGGTTTCAACCAAAGTTAATATTCAAGTTAGTCTGTGCATTTTAGGTATACTACCAATCAATTTATGTGAATGTATGAGATCAATTTCAGTGCTGAGGAATCTTAAAACATACCTATAGACCAACACTATTGTAGAAGAAGGATAAAGTGGCTTAGCTTTTTTCAAATTCATTCAGAAATTACTCCTGACAAAGAACGAGTTATTGATAAGTTTGCTAAGATAATATCTGTTAAAAATTTGATCTATGTTTTATTGATACGTTACATTAAATGTATCAGACAACGCAACTGCCTACTGTAATGCTTTATTGTTGAAAATATGTCAGACAACGTTACTTTCCATGCCCTTAATAACATTATTGCTTTACACTATGAATACTGAAGAGCCTTGACATTTGGTGTGTTTGGAAAAAAACTACAAAATGACGACTTTATTTAATTTGTAAACCTGTAAAAATTCGCTTTGAAGGTGTTCCAAAACGCTGGAAATTGCAATTTGTACGGCGTCTGCCTTTTTATGACTAAAGTTTGAAGCATTCACGCATTGCCGTGTGGTAAATAATTAAATAATTTACACAGTTTAAAAATTTATATTTAAGTATATACTGTATATATATCCCATATTTTTCATATTTTTACAAAAAGATTAGAATTCACGCGTTTTTTCTCATTTTTATGCAAAAATGTAATTTTCACATCTTTACATATTTTCCCAAAAGACTATAAATTCACGCGTTTTATCACATTTTCGCGCAAGAAATATAATTTTTACATTTTATCAAATTTTAGTTATGACTTTATGACTTTTATTAAATTTGGTGATAAAATGAAAAAAATGTGAAATTTATATTTTTTGCGTGAAAATGTGTAAAAAATGCACGAATTATAGTCTTTTAGGGAAATTATGAAAAATTGTGTTAATTATATTCTTGCTTAAAGTGTGTGAATGAAAGTCTTTGCATGATGAAAAATGTGTAAATTATATTTTTTGTGTGAAAATTTGTGAAAATGCATGAATTATAGTCTGATTAAGAAAGGAGTTGACTGTAGTTATCTTGAAACTTACCAAAAAAAACACAGAATAAAAGGATTTTATAAGTACAAAAAACATTGGACTCATTATTAATGATAAGAAATAAACTATTAAATACATCAAGAATTAATTATTACACAAAAAATGATAATAATTGTCTCTACATAGTTCATCATATAAAATATAAAATGTGATTGTAAAACTTTCTGGTTATTTGATGTTTTTCGTTGAAGGGGAAGTATTGTTCATTGGTTACAAAATCGGAAAGAATAACTCAACGCAATCAAGCATTACTACGTGAAAGTGATTATATTCGTGTTTGCAGTCGTTTACCTTTTGATTTTTTTAAGAGTAAAGTGATCTGTATTCCTGATTATCGTTACTGATGGTCATATGACGTCAAAGAAACTATTAAATACATCAAGACACAATTTATATGCAAGAAATGATAACAGTTCACACTACATGGTTA